AACGTCTGGACGCACTGCACAACCTGGTTCTCGAGTGGACTTGGGATTGTAGAGCCAAGCAAATGCGACTGGGCAATATGCTCCCCAATTGCATTGGCCTTCTCTTCGTTGGTGATAAGCCGTTCGTCATTGACTCTAAGTGGTGGAATGGGCTTGGGGTGAGACTTCAGCACCTTGGCAACCTTCCAGAATGGTCTGGAACGGTCGTCCAAGGTTCTGAACGAGCCGCCCGAAACTCTCGTTCCGGATTGAGATCATTCTGGAAGCGATCTGCCGATTCAGATCGACCATTTCGCATTTACACTGCAGATCCCCAGTCCGCTGAAACTGGCGTCTACGAACATTTCTGAGCCGAATCAAGAGTTTGGTGTGGGAATCAATTGCTTGAAACTTACCCCTCACAGGAACTCGTCGAACGCACTCTTCGTCAGCCATGGATATGGCTTGATGGAGACCCTCCAGGGCCCGGTCGATGTCCTCCACTGTGTCGAGCGGTGGGTTGTCGTCGATGTGGTGGTCGACCACGCGTCGAAACTGGACCCAGTTGACTCGATGGTAGTCCTTCCGCTGGCACGGTGCAGGGGCCACGTTGTAGCCCAGCTCGGTCAGCACCGGTTGGTGGTCCGAACTCAGGTCGTTGACGGCAACCGGCTTGGCTAATCTGGTGTTTGCCAAGAACAGGTCCAGCGTCGATGGGTTGCCCGTCGGTGATGTGAAGGTTGGTTCGTCCGGAAACCAGACGGAATAGAGACCATGCTGGGAATGGTCGAATAGCAGGCGGCCGTTCTGGTTCTGCTGGTAGTTCCGCCAGGCCTCGTGCCGGGCGTTCAGGTCCCCTCCGATTACGAAGCGGGCATTGGTGCGGGTTATGATGGCAAGGTCGTTCTTGAACTGCTGTGCTGTACCATTGCTAACGGTACATTGCCGGGGGCAGTAGACAACGATGAACCGGACGTTTCCGGTCGATGTTTCCACCTCAACGCCGACGGCCTCGATGATGGAAGTGCGGTAGTGGGGTAGGGTGCAGTACTTGATGCCTTTCTTGATGATGACCGCGACACCGCCCCCCCTGGAGCTGGTGCGATCAAGCCGGACAATGCTGTGGTCGGGCAGCCAGAAGCTGTCACCGGTCTTGAGGTGGGTCTCGGTGAGAAGGCCCACGTCGATGTCGTGCTTGCGGAGGAAGTCTGCAAGCTCAATGTTTTTCGCCCCTACGGAGCGAGCGTTCCAGTTGGCAATCTTTATGGGTTCACGGTCCATAATTAGCGACGAAGGAGATGATAGCTTGGAGCTGTTGTGTTCTTGTTGCGCAGGTGCGCTTGATGATGATGGCCTGGGCCAACAGTGTGACGATCTCATCCGTTGACAGCGGAGAATCGTCTGTAGCTTCACCGGTTGTACCGGCCAATCCCGGAGCAGGGGGATCCGTCGATGGCCCGGAGGCTTGACCGGGTACTGCAGCGGCAGCCAACTGGGCAGCAGCCAACTGTTGGTTGAGCGGCAGCGGCGGCAACACTGGAATTGGCCGTGATTGGACCGGTGATAACGGAGGATAGTTCTGCGCGTTGTTTTCTGGAACCTTCTTGCGACCGGGCTGGCTGTTGGACGAGGCCTTCTTCCGGATCTCGGCGTATTCGGCCCGCTTCGGACAGGCCTTACTCGTGGCCTTGTGGGCGGCACCGCAGTTGGCGCATGTGGGAGTGGCTTCCTCGATGCTGTCGCAGTTGTCGATCTTGTGGTTTTTGCCGCATTTGATGCAGCGGCTGGCCATGCGGCAATTCCTGGTGCCGTGCCCGAACAATAGGCAGTTCGAGCACTGAGTGACGCCACGGTGGGTGGGTTTATACCGCTCCCACTTCACTACGATGTGGAACAGTGTGCGTGTCGTCTGGAGATCCTTCACGGTTGTGGAGTTCTTCTCCAGATGGACCAGGTAGAGCTGGTCACGATACTTGATGGCCTTGCTGCGGGTCATCTTGTGAACTTCGACCGGCTTGAGACCGTTCGCCTTAATCTCGTCCATTAAGGTGGTGGTGTCCATGTCGTGGAGCCCGCGCAGCACCACTTTCAGCGGCTTGGTGGCCTCGATGTCGTGGGAGAAGTACTCCAGCTTCATCCTGTCCAAGAGGGCCTGAACTGCGTTGAAGTGTTTTTCGGCCGGGACCATCAGTTTGTAGCCTTCCGTGCACCGTTGAATGGTGCAGCGAAGGCCCTGCTTAATGTAGAAATCCAGCTGCTCCCATAGCCCGGGAGGGAAGCCCTTCACATAGAAGGGTGGCAACTTAACTTTTTTCGGCACCGTCTCAGGGTCCGACTGCGGCTGGGCTCCGTTCTGCAGGGCCGAGAACGGATTGTTGCTCAGCAGCTTTTTTGCTGCTGATACGGTGGCGCTGCTGTCTTCAGGTCTGGGTCGTTTAGTTCCGGGAGGCCCCGGCTGCGGGTCCGCAACGCCTGTCGGGATGGGCAATGGGGTTTTCTTCTGCTTCTTCTGAGCTGGCTCGGTGGTCGCGCCGTCTCCTGGGAGAGTCTGTTTTCCCGGTAAACCGGCACTCGCGTTACCGCGCGATTTCTTACCCATGGCTGGGTCAGCGAGAGCGTCACTACACAACGCGGAGCTAATTCGACTTGCGAACGAACGAACGAAACTAGAGAGAATTCAAATCGACTGAACTGCTCAACAGTCTGGCAGCGAATCATGATGAGCAGTGGCATGAGAGCAGCGCTGATTTATACCTTTTCAGGTTCAAGCAGGATGATGTGCAACCAAGTGGTATTCGTTTATGATGACTGGGTTTGGGAAAAAGACTTATTTCATGAAATCAGTGATAAAATTATCATTTGTACATTTTCAAAAGTTTAATTACAGAAAAATTGGAAAAATATTTATTTCAACAGGTTTGTAATGTAATATCCTATCGATTGGCGTATTTTGATTTTAATTTCATCTATAAATGACAAAGTTACAAGCGTTCAAAACCTAACACTCCTTCACCACACATATTTATTGATTTGCACCCCAGTATAGTCGACAAAGACGTAGTTCTACGTCAAAAACGATATTTTGTAGAACCGGCTTTTCAGGACCCAGCTTTATGAATCCTTCTAGGAGCAGTTCAAAATACAGCTCCATGCCCAGAAAAAGATCTATTAGACCCGGTTCATGGAAGTTGGGATCTGCTAGTGTGATTCCGGATGGAACGATCCAGTAGGAAGAATCAACCGCGTTGACAGGAAGCTCACAGGTGATCTTCTTCAGTATGTGACAGGGTTCTTCGACAGTATATTCGGTGCAATAGGACCCTATCCCAACATCAACATCACGCTGAAACGATACGACGAAAGTTTTACCAATGCCTCCAATTTCTTGACGATTAGGATAGCGACGTAACTTAAGCTTCTGAACCATATTCTCGGTGATTATGTAAAGTTGCGATGCAGGATCCAACAACGCTCTGGCAACTCTCTCGGGTTACTAACATCATAAAGCGAAACAATTCCGTTTCCAATACATCTGCCATGGCATTTTTGGACGTCGAGAAGGTTCGACAATGTTTGGCATGATGGCATAGTGTACAAGCTGCATCGATACAACTTCCCGATGCTACCGACGACGCCAGGGAGGCAGGTCCCACACCTGAACCCCACCTATCGACCCATCAACTCATGAACCGGGAACCAACGGCTTTACTTCCCTTCCGAAGGAAGGCGTGATCAGAGATGTTATGCCTCAGAACATCCCGGCGGCGCCGACTGGGATTGAACCCAGGCCTACTGGGGTGAGAGGTAATCACGCTTACCGCTAAACCACCGGCGCCGCTCTTTCTTGTCAAGATCACCAAAAACTACTTTTAGTGTAGATTATTCCAGGTATTCTTAAACAATTCACCTTCTGATACGTTCAACGTTGATGCTGGAGTTTCCCAGGCTACCCTCTGGTGGTTCTATCCTCTTCAACATCTTCATGTCAGAAGTTCCTCCTCTTCCGGGTGGTGGTATTTTATGAATGTTCCCGGATGACACTGCCATCATCTATAAGGGTCGAGTTATCCATACTCTGACTAGAAAACTCCAATCAAGCCTGAATGTTCTGTACGACTATTTCAAAAGCTGAAAGATTTGAATCAATACAGTAAAAACACAGACCATTCTGTTTCCACACTCGAATTCACCTCGGCTTGCCCGTCTGGTAACTTAAAGGAAACCTTGATAATACTCCCATTGAATGGTCAAATGAAGTCATGTACCTTGGTCTCACCCTTGATAGCAGGCTGCTGTTCCATTCCCATGTGGACAAATTATCCACCAAGTGCAACATCTTGATTAGTTCGCTCTATCCACTTATCAACAGAAAGTTCACCCTTTGCATTAAAAACAAGCTTGTCATCCACAAGCAATCCATCCTCCCTGCCATTGAGTACGGAACACCAATATGGGAGAGCTGTGCTAAGTACCATCACCTCAAACTTGAAAAGATCTAGGCCTGATCGTGGGGCTCGTTGAAAAACGTGAATACGTAAATCAGAATAGCAAATTAAACAAAGATGAAGAACCTGAAAGGCTGATCAATTGAAATGTTGAAACAATGTAAAATCATAATTAACTGAAATGAACGTAATTTTACTACTACCGAAGATGTTCAGAATAAAATTGGAAGTCAACCAGTGAAAAGCAAATAATTAAAGAATAGATTAATAAATAAATAGTTAATAGCAACAGTACGTGAATTGTTTGGATTACTCCTGCCTACCATGTCCTGGAGTTTGTACCCGGTGGTGAACTTTGTGCTGTCCGTATCTCCCAGTCCACCGTTCCGTCTATATCGTCGGTGTATTCACGACGAATATATACAGTTGTGTTTACATTTTAAAGCAGCTAAAAACATTTCTTAAATTAAACGAAATTACATTTTTTTTGTGTATGAAACGTACAATTTTTCACAGCGTTCAAAGCCCTCTGATCAGTAACTAATCTCACCTTTCACTTTTTTTTTGTATTTTCAGAGTCACGAAATCCACAATCTGCAGACCTACACCCAGTATCTGGTTTCAATCCAGGTGTTCAATCCGGAAGGCTTAGGCCCGCCAACGACCGTCCTTGTCATGACCGATGAAGGAGGTAAGAGAGGCTTACACACCTAAATCCCATCCTAATCTCCGGCGTACACCACCGTTATCGATGAACAGCTTGAATATTCTTTAATTTTATCGATCCAATCAGCTCCCAAAAACACCCATCTGGACTCCCTTGCATGCCTCCCACCGATGCGCATCCTGCCAATTTGGATTTAATTTTGCACTCTCTTTGAATTATTTTCCCTGGAAGAACGCCATCATCAAAAGCGGTCCGACGATGCTTGGGGGTCGCCGGTCGCTGAGGGAATGAAAGCGCGCGCTGAAGCAAAAGATTTTATCCAAATCGTAGAAAATTAATTATCTGATAAGGCTCGTTCATCATTGATGACTGCTGCTCCCCAGAAGGTACCCACTCCCCAGCTTTGATGAAAAGTTGTTTCCCTTTCGTTCTATTGCCACACTTGGTGAGTGGATAATTTGTCGAAAGCGGAGGAATATACCTTACCTCCCCTCGTTCCTTACCCCCGCAGCAGAATGTGCTGCAATCTGACTGAACAATTTAGCTAACTATCATCGAGATAGAGTTTTATGCTGCCAAGTTTCAGGTGGTGTCGGAGTTTCGTTGGGCGAGGGAAGAGAGGGAAGTGAAATAACGGTGATTATTTGTATTTGCATAGATAAATATCAACTCTCCTGTTGGCGTATGCAGCGCTTCATGCCAAAACGTACAAGGTGTTTTCAGGGAACTCATTTGGACGATGTCGGGCAGAGTTGTATTGAAGGTGGGAATGGGAAGTTATTGATATTCATAACTTGGGACATTATACAGCTACCCCACAATTATGAATAACAATCGTTTAAGATAGTTCCCAATTTGGAAAAATATTTGTATGGCATAGGAAACTAGCAATCGCCGGTATTTCCTTTGAAAATTTATGGAGCTATGACTTAAGGTGGACAGAAATTGGTCCCAATTATACTTTTTTCGTTGGAATTAAGTTTTGGCATTTTGCACGGCTTGAAGTTAATGTTTAACCCAAGGAAGACTATGAAAGTTCATCATTTTCGGTTTAAAACCTTGTACCTAAAATATCTCATGCATCCTGTTTATACTATGTCTTCGTTTCCATTTCCAGTTCCTAGTAAACCTCGCAATCTCAGTATTCTAGAAGTGACGTCAACGTCGATCCGAATAAGCTGGCAGGAACCAGAACGTAAAAACGGTGTTATTCATGGATACCGAGTGTACTACGTGTACCAAAATCAAACTTTGCTGCATCTTCCAATCTTGAAGAGTGATGCAATTCAGAATTTGATGTATTACTACACTCTATCAAACTTGAGTAAGTATACATTTTCCGAAGTGATATTCAAAATTTACGGTACTATCTCTCATTCCCCACCAACAGAACCATTCACCGATTACCGGCTCATAGTCGCTGCCTTCACCATGAAATACGACGGTGAAACATCAGAGGTTTCCATTCGGACGGACATTGCCGGGCCCAGTGCACCCAAGTTTATCAATTTGACGTGCTATTCCGAGGATGCTCTTTTTCTGGCGTGGCGAATACCGCAGCATTTCTACAACTCGGTAAACCACTACATAGTGAGCTACCGAAACATGGACTACACGCGCTCGCGGGAGATCCGAATCTCCGCGAACGCATCCATCGTGGAGACATCGGTTGTGCTGCAAAATCTAACGACGGATGCCAGCTACGAACTGAAAGTTCGAGCCGCTTCAATTAGTGTTATCAATCCCAATAAGGTCATCCTTGGACCGTATTCAGAGTTGCGAAAGGTAGGTCCAGCAAGGTTATCCTCCTCATAAAACCCGTGTTGAGTTTTAAATGATTACAGATAACTCTCAAAGCGAACTGCGATCTACATCAGCCTCCATCGCTGTACCATCACTACGCTGACTATGATCTGATAGTGCTTGCTGGAGCGGTCATTTGCTGCTTTGGCTTGCTTCTAGTGATCCTAGCAATAGTTCTATGGAAGTAAGTTTGGCCAAGATAAAGATCATTCCCAACCCTTATCCCGTTTGTTTTCATTTCCTTATCGAACATCTGCAGGAAATGCTTCAACACAAACTATACCAACGAAGCGGACCCGGTGCATGCGGATCAGAAGCAAACGCAGCAAACGCAAATCGACTGGAAGGCCACCTGCGATACCAACGGAGTCATCCAGACGACCGTTCCTGTCACGAAAATCATGCAGAATGGCAACCATCGTCATCTGACGATCGATGGGGACTGATAAAAGGTGATCGAAGCCGGTACCTGCCACGATGATGATGATGACGTTCACCACTGGCAGACCCGGATCGAAGCGAAGCGAGTTTCTCCATCCATCCCCGTCTCCGGTTTCGGATCCTCCCGGGGATTCACCGGTACAACGATGCTCTACATTCCTGACCTGGAAGTTGTGATTAATCCGGAAGCATGAAGACTGTGTGGGGATGGACCTGGAAGAGCAGACTTGACTTGTACAGGTAGAAAATTAAATTGATATTATAGGCAACACACACACACACATACACAAACAAACGAAAAAAAAAAAAGGTAAGACAGCGAGCAACAGATGACAGGTAGGACTTGACACCGCATGCTAGAATCGATTTTTTTAGTTTAAGAATGTCTGTGGAAATAGGGTTTGGGCAAGGAGTCGTTGAAAAAGTTGAAATCTGTTGTGTGGTTAATTGTGACAAAGATTGCTTCAGGCTTGTGTATAATAAAGTATTTTAAGGATTAGTAAAAAAAAAAAGAATCCGTGAAAAAGGGTAAATGCCAATACTGTTTTTTCGTTTTTTTTTCTTTTTAATAAGAAGAATCCAGAAGACAAATGAAGAATAACTGACTCCCAGAGAGAAAGGAAGATGTGTGATATTTTTATACATATTTTCGGGATGTTCGGAATTAATTATGAAACGAAGCTAAGGGCAGGCGGAAATAAATTTTAAACGAATGGAATCGTTGGTTATTGCTTTGTCCGAAATTGTCATAATATTCTGAATCCTTATACATTTTGCAAGCTGATATCTGGCATATTGCGAGTTTCATTATGTAGCAGTAATTTGTGGGACAGCCTGTAATTCATGGTGGATGAAGATTGTAAGGCAGTGTATATTTTAATGGTTTCAGCACAATGAAGTACAGAGAGAGGGGAAGCAGATCGTGAAATATGGTTGTATTAGTAAACCAAAAAATCAACGTAAACGCAATTAGTGACGTCACTAATTGCTTGTATCTTACAGGGGTTTCACTCACACAACTTAACCGATTGCTTCACCTCGGTAATCCAGCTCATTGGTTTCAGCAACACTTTTCCAGGTATGTCATGCAAGCACAGAGCTACCTACTGCGACCCGAGCGAGGACCCGAGTCCATGTTAATAAGAGTCCCGCAAAGAAAAAATCTTGCAAACAAGCAACACTGTTTATCCGGGACGGGACTTGACAGTCGAGATTCTCACTGTTCGTCATGTTGTTGGTGAATGCCTTTCGAAAAATGTGTGCGTGTTGTTTGACGTAGTTGACCAATGATGCCAGGATTGCAGAATGGATTTTCTATTTTAATTTGCATTTGGTTCGGAGAAGCTAACGCAGTTTAGCACCTTGTTCATCATTTTTACTCAACACAATAAAAACAATCATTAACAAACAACAAAATCCATCGCCTAGAACACGCAGTGCACTAAATTTTTCAACTTTCCTTTCGCAAATATGAACAACGAACAACGTCATCATCGGCATCACTTCCAGTCAGTTTGCTGTGATGCCTGTCATTGTTATACCACGATTGCTACTGTCAAATCGACGAACCAGCAATTGGCAAGGATTTTACAGCAAATTGGCACGAAAGAGATACCCGATTGTAAAGTCCCGTACCAGCTGTTTATGATTGATTTTCAACAGAGTTAACGACAACCACATTTTTTGCGATTCTATCGAATGAATTTGATTCAGAAGTGGCATAATGAAACATAAACAACGTCTATAACTTATCAATACCAAAATGCAAAATATTGTTTGAAATGAATGCAATATTTTCAGTCCTGGGAACAATATTGTCTATTTTCAAAGCTCGTTTGGTACCCCTTGACAGTTTGATTGATAGAACTTCTGGCTTCACTGTTTGCGGGACTCTTATTAACGTTGACTCTGACTGTGACGAGCAGAGATGCCAGATCTACGGAAATCTCCGTAGATCTACGGATTTTACAAATTTTGCGGAAACACGGATCCGTAGGCAAAATCTACGGAATTCGGTAAGTTTCTACGGATTTTTTTTTATCAGTGTACGTCTCCCTTCAGAATCGAATTTTACAATCTAGAGTATAATCCGATTCTGAAGGGAAAGAAGCATAAAGTAAAATACACCTCTGCAACTTGTCAACCGGTTTCTTGCTCACTTATCCGCTTTTTGAGTAAACAAACGTCAGACTGTGCGACTGTGTGAAACATGGCGGCCTTCGTACTATCTCTTCACTCCGCCGAAAGTCCCCATAATATACTGTCAATCTTTGCTTGAAGAGAAAATTTTTCGACGGTGATGTGTGAAGGCGAATAAAAGTCGTGTCGAGACCAGTCTTGTAAGCGGTCGACACATTTTCTGTGATAATCGACTGCCTTTGCTTCCAACACTTGCAAAACAAGCTTTCAAATTACAGTACCAAACTAAAATGTCATACGACAGGCTCTGTCATACGACACTATCGCCGAAGACCGTCACGAATGTATGTATTTAAGTTTTTCTCATAATAAAAGCTGCTGATGTTGTTCTTGTGTGTATTCTGAAAATAGCAAGCATAGTCATAGTAATAACATTTTTGATCATAAATGGTTTAATTTTCACCAAATTGAGGAATTAGAACAAGATCACATGTGTCATATTATAATTATTTGATAATTTTATTTTTGCTCAAATGTTGTTCTACCGTTTGCGTTGTGTAAGAGAGACGACGCTCTCTTCCCCGTCAGCTCGATAATGATCAGGCCTTCAACGTGTTCATCAAAAAGCACGTAATCCATAAGTCGTCGTACTTGTCCAGCTTTACAAAGGAAACTACGGTTAAAGCGTGGCTTTCTTATTAGATTACGACGACACCACTGTACCACCGATACGGGATCACAATTGATCAGATCGCCATAGATGGTCTTGAAACCCCTGCAGTGGATCCTCAAATTGAGCTGGAAACCATTGCCGTGGATAATGTGTCAGAATTGCTGCTTGGGCAACAGGAAACGCTCCTTTGGAATGAGGACAAATGCCTGGAGATCGCTCCTGCGCAAAACAGGGTTCCTCTACCATTGATATATAACGAGCACGGCGAAGAGCAAGAGACAGCTTTTCCTGCCATTTGTTTCGGCCATCTACGGAAATTTAAGCCAGGGGTTCGTGTGACATATTTCATGATGGCATCCAGTGAAACTCGTTGTCAAGACAGGCGTGTGGCCAAACCACAACTTTTGTTGTATATGACAATGAAAGTTCTTCACCCTAGAGTTTCCGAAGGCTTGCAATTCACTTTTAAGTTCACGGGGACCGCAAACATTACACGTGTCAACCTGTCAACCTTCATGGAGCAGTGCATTTAACAAAATCTATCCTTCCTCAAATCAATACCGAATTCAGTACAGTATTGGCATCAGAAGAAGAGAAATTTTTTCACCATGATGCGACAATTGGGAAAACCTACGATGTTCCTCACACTCAGTGCAAATGAGATGAAGGGGCCCCATTTGTTGAATCTCCTACATCGATTATCAGAAGGACACAATGGCAATGACTTAACAGATCCTATCCAAGAATTGACTGCACTTCAAAGAGCAACTCTGGTCAATGATGATCCAGTCACGTGCTGCGTGTACTGCAACAAGCTGGTTGACACAGGACTGGAAGTCCTCTCGCGCACATCTTGCTATGGCTGAACAAGGATCTCCAGGAAGCAATCAGTGAAAGTATACCAAAAACTACAGGTGCAACAAGATCATGGTATTCATGCGTGTACTTCCATCGGTCCTTTTCAGGGCCACCACGATTTTCCAAAAGAGTTGAATTTCTGAACATGTCCCAACTAAAATTCATATCAAACCTCCTTTTAAGGGCAATCATAGTCATACTAAAGAGTATACAATTCCTATTCCTACACAAAACACAAGTCCTGCTGCAGCTAACAAATAACATTTATTATATAAGACCACGTAGTCCGACGTCACCATTGCGTACAACCCCAGAGGGCTGTCCCTAGTAGTTTTTCAAAAGTTCTTTCATCGATTTATCATTTAACGTTAAATATCACCTTGAAACTAAAAAAATATCACCTTCGACTAAAAAAATCCGCAGAAATCCGTAGATTTGAAAAAGTCTACGGAATTGCATAGACAAAATCTGGCATCTCTGGTGACGAGCTGGAACGAGTCGCCGTTGCTCTCGCATTAGTAGCATTGTGCGCGTCATTAGTCGGGCGGTTGAAGTGGTAAGTTGATTCAGGGTGGTAAGCTCCAACCGGTATTATCATAGAGGTAACTCTAAGACAAGTAGGTCCCGAAGAAACGTGCTCAACTTTTTGGCTCACCTCTGGTACTATCTTCGGTCCCAAGCTTGTCGAATCACCCCTCGAAACATAGGAAAAACCAATAACCCCTCATTTTATCTGTCAAACTTTCATAGCGAATCAAAACAAACTTGCGTAGTACTAGAATTTCGACTAGAATAGGGTACGTTAATCGTTTGCTTGGGACCAATAGACTACTAAAGTGGTGAGCCAATTTAAAATCGTTAGTTTCGTATTGATTGTTGGTATTATCCTCGGATTAAATCCCGATAAATACTGCCCGGCTGCTTGATGTCGACATCAGAGTTAATCAACACGACTGCCAACACTTTACAGATCATCTAAACAAGGACAGTATTACAAGTTAATCCGAGTTGGAGCTTACCGTAATTAGTGTGTACTAAGCGATTCCCTTGATAATACTTTTTTTTTCCTCTGATGGTAGGTACTTTATTACACGCAGAAAAAAAAATTAAACGTAATAATATTTGACGTAAAATCAATAAGAATTTCATTTTGTTTTGGCTGCAAAAAGAAATCATTATTGTTTCAACAATCCAGTATTTTTGTTCCTCAAAACCCATGAATTTTTCATTAAAAAATAAAATCTTTTCGAATTTACAAGAGCTTTCATGGTTTTGACGTAAGCTGTCAAATTTGGCAGCTGGGTCAACAACAAAAATATGTTTGTTTTTAAAAGAGATTTCATGTTGATTCAATCATATTTATTTTATGAAGTCTGACAATTCACACAGAAGAAATAAAAATATGTTTATTGATTAAAAAATCCGGAGTGATTTGAGATTTGGGTGTAATTGCTTTTGTAAACAAACACGTCAATTACTGATTTCTCTTGAATGAAAGCTCAATCTCACAAACAAACTATACCAAATGATAGAAGAATCATTCTTCTACCTCATAGTGTTATTACTTTTCGAGATTGAGCTTTTATTCGCGAGAAATCGGTGATTGACGTGTTTGTTTACAAATGCAATTACGCCCAAATCTCAAATCACTCCGGAAATAATATGGCCATTTTTTTATGTTTTGTTTTCTTTTTCACAGATCATCCTTCGGAAGAGAAGTAAAGCCGTTGATCCCCGGTTCATTAGTGGATGGGTCGATATGTAGGGTCCAGGTGTGGGAGCTGCCTTCTTGACGTCCCACAGTGGGGCAGCGAAGCCATTCGCGTGGCCAAAACCTCTAGCGCCATTGGTTTGCTTTCTACAGCGATACAATGTTCTACAAAGTTGCTC